GTTGTTTACCAGAAGTGAGCATTTAGGTTATCCACGCCCAAATTAGTGGCATAAAAGGGCCTAAGCTCGGTTCTGGTGTTGGTTCGATTATTATCCACTATCGTCAGCGGCTATTCCGCATATTCATTGTTGATAGTCAGCGGCTGCTCCGCTACTATCGAATAAACAGTGATTAACGTAGTGGTACCAGCTTGGTGTATACCAAACCAACTGAAATGTTCCAAAGATGCAACAAAACAACGGAATCGCATCAAAGCAAAGTAAATGTTTCTGCAAATGTTGCAGAGACGACAAAGGAATTAAAGGCGCTGAGAAGGACTCTGCTTCTTAGTTTGAGATATCCCATGGAATATCTTCCTGCGCAACCACTGGCAAGGTCTAAAATCCAGTATTTACTTGGTCTTAGCCTAGTTTTAAACGTAGAATGCGGAAGCAAAACACTGAATCATTGCATATACGTCTGACAGGCTACGTAAACCTAGAGCAGTAAGTCTCACGCTGTAATGAGGCAAGGTTTGAGGATATCAAAGCTGGGAGAGTACCTGAAAAAAAAACCATTTTAGCAAATGTTTTGCAATTTTTTCCAGTTTTTCCACATTTTTCTTCGAGAACGGACTCAGAAGAGGCATATTCATGAAGAGTCACCACATAAGTCTTTTACAGTCTAATTAAGATGTTCATCCTTGCTATGAATGCTTCTCAAAATTACAAACAAAACAGAATAAGCGTTCCGCTTCTCCAAAAGACAAACAGAACAGAATAAGCCTTTTTGTTGATTGAGTCGTAATGTAAGAGAAATTTTAGCTGCATCATAAACAACAGCACCTAAATCCTTTGTAAAACTACAACATTTGAGATTTATCCCCATCGCATGCAGAATGCAACTTGCAGGAGGCTTCTTTCCCTCAAATGCATGACTTTAGATTTGAATGCATTTACTGGAAGACTCTTTAAAAGAAGAAACCACAAGGCACACCACGTCTCGTTCAATCTCCGTGCAGCAGGAATAGATTTTCATGTTGTTGCAAAAACTTGTGTTGATGTCTGGGTGGGCATTCAACAAAGATGGTAGATCTGCCGTGTAGATGAGGAAAAACATAGGCGGTAGTAGGTTAACCTGGGGTCACACTGCTACAATGGAAGCAGTGGTATCAACGCAGAGTACTCGTTCAAAACGGTGCGGGGCGGCTGCAGCGCATGCAGCACAGTGCTGGAACTGTTCCCGCACAGTTCCCGCACAGTTCCCGCACAGTTCCCGCACAGTGCGAGAACTGTGCGGGAACAGTTCCAGAACAAGGGAATCAGTATGAACGCAGCCTAAGAGCTAACCAAGAAAGCCGTCTACAGCCTAAGCCGTTTATACAACAACTTTGGTCCAAATATTGGTCCAAATATCGTTACCTGTGCGTGGGAACAATCATTTTACCAGCCAATGCTGTAATAGCTATTTGAACCGGATGCCGTAAACACAGTGTCAAGGCAAGAAATTCGCATAGCTCAGACAATCACAGGCTCTCAGCCGGCGGCCACAAAGCCACCGCGAAAACCCACCAAAAGCGCGGTGGCCTCATCGCCTCACTGTCGCTTCCTGCTGAGAACTGGCAGCGAGCGGGCTGCTATAAAGCCTTCAGCGCGAAGCGAAACCGCCGCTTTCGCTTCGCGCTGAAGGCTTTATAGCAGCCCGCTCGCTGCCAGTTCTCAGCGGGAAGCGGCAGTGAGGCGATAAGGCCACGGCGCTTTTGGTGGATTTTCGCGGTGGCTTTGTGGCCGCCGGCTGAGAGCTTGTGATTGTCTGAGAGAACTGCAATGGCCAGATTGCAGTACTATGCGAAAGCGGACGCACGTAATTGCGCAAGTGCGCAGCGATAGGCTGAAAGCGAAGAAGCTGTTCGAGAAGTTGGGGAACCTACGCCTTAGTGGAAAAGCTTCGCCCATCTGCTCTGTGAAGAAGAGTGCTGCCAGTCAGGTCATCAATCTCACAGCGACATCGCGTCTCAGCCTTGGCGACACTCGGCAAATTTGAATTATAAGGTTTTGGAATCTCTCGTCTTTCGCAATTTCCGGTGGATTCTTTTGCGCAAGTATGAACTTAAGTAAGCTTTGGAGCCATAATCGGAGTTTTTGTCCTTCAAAGATAGCGTTCAGGTAAAACTAAAACCCGTATGTTAACGATATGCTAGGCCTCCAGTTGTTCTCCTTTGCACGTCTCTAATACACATTGACGAACTGGTGTCTACATGCAGAATGTTCCACTGTTTGAGTTCGTTTTCGATTCATCAAATGCTCGTGAATTTTGGCTTCAGACTGCAAGACTTGCAGCTAGATGGACTTACTAGCAGTGATTTCTTTCAATCAAACTCCCAAGTGCTTACGTTATGATATATTGTAAAAACCATGAGCAAAAAGATTCAAGCTCTGATTTCTGATAAGTCATCGTTGTTCCTAGTCCGACCTCTGCTCAGACAATCACAGGCTCTCAGCCGGCGGCCACAAAGCCACCGCGCTTTTGGTGGGTTTTCGCGGTGGCTTTGTGGCCGCCGACTGAGAGCCTGTGATTGTCTGAGTGGTTTTCCTGAACCCCTTGTGTATCCTAAATCCATCCTGATTTCTCCCGACTAAGGCCCGTATGCATACATCCCTGCTGGGGAGGGGAGCGGATCTGAGAGGGGATGATGCATCATATTTCGCTACTCTACGTATCCTTCTTCTTCTTTTTCTATTTGCTTATGAAAGTTCTCATACCCTTGATCCTGCGCATAGTGAATGCAAATTTACTGGCGTGATTGATTAGATTTTCACTAATTGTTTGATATCCTGGGGATCACCCCTCAATTTCGATGCCATTTTTCTCCCTGAAAACTCAATGAAACGCCGTAAAATTGTGTTGTAAATATACTACGGCACTGCTTAAGATGATTATGGTAGAAATGAGTGAAATCTCAGGATATCGAAATTTTCGGTAATCCCTAGCACGCGAGCCAGGAATCATCGTAAATTTCACAAATTTCGGATTCCATTTCTTCTGTCGAAAATATGCTTAGCAGTGCCGTAGTATGTCCTCAGTACTACTTTACAGCATTTCCATTGATTTCTCATGAATATATTAGGTTATCCCGAAAGTTTTGTCGGTTTTTTCAACCTATCATAAAAACGCGTGGAACGAAGATAGAGAAACGCTCTAAACACTATCCGACGCATCTTTTCCTTCTTTTCCTAACTGTCATGCTTCCATGCCAATTAATCTTTTGCTCACTGAGATAAACGCCGAAATTTCGAACACATGGTTTTTACTATGTTCAAGTTTGGCAATTTTTCACAATCTTTATTTTTGACTTTGAGAAAAGCTTTGGCGACATTTATATAGAGCAAACAAAGCGCAATATAATGCAATTTTGTGGCATCTATAGCCAGCCTTGAAAATTTTTTAGAATTAATTTCTGATGCTATTAAATTCCACTTTTGGTGATGCCAAAAGCCAGAGATCATGAAACGGCGCGCAACTAAGGTGTTATTCGATGCAGCTTTTCCTCCTCTTTCCAGTGAGTGTATTTTCTTTCCGATTTGCCGGGTCTTTGGCGATAAAATTTTCATAATTTGAATTTGACCCCACCCCAGCGTGTACACGTAAAATGCAAAATCTTATATTTCGAAGCAAAAATCGCTCATTTGCTTCGTAAAAATAGTGAATAATCGTAATCGGTTTCTGAAAGCTTCAAAATCCGATGATTTGTTAGCGTTCGAAGCGTTTGTATTTTAGAACTTCGCAAAAGTGAAGACTTTTGAAAAAATTATCTTCAAAAATATTGAAAAGCCAGCTAGATATGCCAAATAATTGCATTGCATTGTCCTTTGCTTGCGCTATCTGAGGGCTATCAAAAGTCTTCCAAAAGTTGAAAATGAAAATCGTGAAAATTTGTCAAACTTGGACATAGTGAAATCCATGGGTTCGAAATTTCGGCATTTATCTCAGTGAGCAAAAGAGTAGTCGGCATATGAGCTTGAAGTTAGAAAGAGGAGGAAAAAGTGCCTCGGATAGTGTTTAGAGCGTTTCCCTATCTTCGTTCCACGCGTTTTTATGATAGGTTGAAAAAACGGACAAAACTTTCGGGACAACCTAATAGATCACTTTGAAAGTGAAAGGTGATTCCCAGGGGATCCCCTGAAGATCACACAAAATGGCAAAAAACCAATCTCGTATGGAAATAACTTGGCATCCATTATGCGCAGGTTCAAGTGTATGAAAAACTTTATAAGCAAGATAGAGAAAGAAGACGAAAGATACGTAGAGTAGCGAGATATGACGCATCCTCTCTCAGATTCCCTCTCCTCCCCAGCGACGATACACGTGCATACGGGCCTAAGCAACACTCTTTTTCGCAGAAACAAAGGAAGTCAAAGCAAAAAGATAAGAATTTAGAGCAAGCGTCACAAAGAACAGCTTTCTTTGCTCTGTATATGTGCAAGTATCTCCCAGTTCGTCACTTTGGTAAATAGGTCCTCTCCTCTATACTCAAGAGAGAAGACTTCCTCTTAAGGGCCGGGCATACTTCACGCGATTTCAGTCGCAACGCGATTTGGCAATTCGCCAGAAGTCTTCTGATCTAACACTAGCAAACTGTACATGCACAGTGTGTATAACTTATGTGAATTGATGATATACCATATCTTTTGTACATTTGAATTGTGCTTACAGTGAGTTATGGACAGTTGGAATAATGCCAAATCGCGTCGCGACTGAAATCGCGCGGAGATGCCCGGCCCTTTAGACTGAGCATGCCTTATGCTTGGTCGGTGGTAAGGTTGCGTCCACTGTTGTACCCATGCCAGCGTGAGGCTCATGGCTCACATGGGCGCCTCACTCTCAATATACCGGCGGCGCTCTGCGTCGTCAACCTAGCCCAGTACGGAGCTGCTGGTGCAAGCAACTGTGGATGCAGAGAAAGCATCAATGCTTTTTTTACAAACACAGTTGCATTGAAAACATTTATTGCTTATAGGTGTTAGAGAAACATCGCAAGTGCATTTTCACGCCTCTTGATCAGTCTGAAATTCTTCCATTCAAATGAAGTTTCTAGCAATTTGAAAAGTTGCAGCTGCATACTTGTGCGATATTCCAACTCGACTTCAGTTCCTCCCTGGCGATTATAAATTATGACGGGAACAATGTCATTGGACGAGGTAATGGTCTTTCCCTCATTTGCGTCAGGATCACAGAATCTAGAATGCACCGAAGGTTTAGGAAGTTCCTTAACGACTTGTTTTTGATGCTATCAGCAAACCTGTAGCCACTCAGAAGTTGATCTTTTTGTGCTTTGATCTCAATTCCTCCAGTAGAGCAACCGGCACCCAAACTAGTATAGTAATCAGACATATCACTGACCTTCACTTCAACTTTTTTGATTGTCATCTTAATCGTTTTTCTTCCGGGATTCTATAATATATAATAGAACACAAATTGTTAATCTACTTAATCCAGCTTCAAACCTGAATCCAGTAGTAGCATTCTTCAAAGTCTTCCATTTCTTCCTTGTTTAAGATATTTCCCACAGTATATGCGATGGTGTTCGCTTTAGAAGAAGCAGTGAGTGTTTCACCGCATTTGTTCGTTTGCGGCTAAAACAAATGTAACTTTCATTAATGAGTATGTTTACTTATCAAATGTAATAGCTTACCCTTTCATCGCATGATGCACCTCCGTATCCACGGGGACAAATGCATTTGGAGCAATCTCGAGGATTTGGGTAGCCACCCATCTTGCATTTTGCAGCGGAGCGTTCAGACGCGCACTTATCTGGAGTTGAAAAAATTTTTTCAAACCTTAGACACCATTTTACAATCGCTTGATGGGGCGAGATATGTAAGCGTATATATGATGAGCTTGAACAGGATAGTCAGCTTTTGAGGTAATCAAAGAAAAATCCTTTTGATTGATTTTGTTTGATCAGTTTCACTGTAACGATGTATTCTTGAAAATAAAGATTGTGTCGATAAAGATTTACTGATGGAGGATGTCGATAAAGATTCACTGGTAGAGGAATCTTCCACACAAAGAGAACTAATGCATAGTTTCAACAAAGACCATTTTTAAGTACTACCGTAACTCAATCTCGGCGTTGTGGAAATTGCTGCGGTGTGAAGCGCAAGCAGTGCTCAAAGCAAAAACCAGCCACGTCTCAGTGCTTTAGCTAAGTCTATTGGACATGTTTGATTATGCTGTTGCAGATCGCTTAACAGTGAAATCTGAGAGATTTTTTTCGACTATCGGCCGCGTGTGCATGCACTATAGTTACTATAGCGAAGAGATCCAACGTTAGGTGATACATAGCGAGATCTACATTGGGCGACTGAAGGATAAACCGCTTATACTACGTACTGAAACTCCACTCCGTCAAGAACCGCCAATCACCTGTTTCCACCACATTCTTGAATGATTAACCACGGAATAACCACTTTTCACTCTCGAAAATGCCCTTGTTCTGTATGTTTAGTGCTTTAATTACATAAAAGTCGATACGCTCTAATTGCTCTACTTGCTCATTTCAATTTGAGAACTCCCACACTCACTGCAAGAGCGCGTGTTCGCAACAAATTGTTCGCTTATATCTCCACCTACGCAAACTAGCACAAGAAGATTGAGTAACGCCAAGCATATTTTTGCAAACTTGTAGCCGTTCTACAGGTATACCATAGTATATTACCGCAGTGCTCAGAGATAACGCTTGCCTAATCGATGACAGCCTAAGCACTTACCATTTTCTATCTACAAACTAAGCAATAGAAACTGCGCCATCAAAGCGACTAGGCGCATTTTTTAACACGTTGACGACAGCGTGCATTTTTAGCTGTCTGCCTTGTGGGACAGTGCCTTCTACAGTAAGTTGAGTATTTTTAGCTGAAATCAAGTAGGCCGGCATCTGCAGTATCCCTACAGTGATTCTGAGAAGTAGCTGAGAAAGCGGAAGTAATTCCCAGGGATAAAGCATAACAGAACTTCTAAAATCACAGTCATTGCATGACCCAACCATGTGGGTCACATTGTCGTCAATGTGTTAAGACTCACCAAGAAACCGTAGTGTTTGTTCATCAGAAGTATGTCATAGAAACTTATAAACGGTGAACCCATTGTTTCCAGGTAATTTTCGTATTGCTTGTGAGGCACTATTGTTGGTTTCGATTCGTCTTTAGCAAAACTGAAAGTCAATTCGTAATAAGACCTAAGCAAAAAGTCTGCAAGTCTGTGACGATAAACATACGCGTAACCGAAGTAGTGCATAAAACTACCAAAGTCGTAGGGTGTACCATAATTGTTTGTATTTTTTTCTTGGTTGAAGTTGCGTTCCGAGCCACTCTCAAATCAGGCACTTACATTTCACGCGTGCCTCATGTTATGCGGTGCCTATACCCACCTGGATATTTCCGATATTGACGTCAACATAATTTTGACGGTCGGATCTTGAGTGTGTATGATGAACGCCAAGAGCGTGGCCAAACTCGTGCGCAGCAGTCCAATACTAGGAACAAAGCACAAGGTTATAAAAGAAAAGACCCAAGATTATCAAGAACATGGGCGGATGCAGGAGGAAAGGGTGATTTCTCGTTACTTGTATTATTGGCTCCACCCTATTTATACTTCATTTCTCGGCCTCTGCGATCATCAGTGAACTCGCAAAGTCTGGGAGTTCTACAAAGTGCCAAAAGCATACATCATCACAGCCTTGTCCCAGTGAAAGCTGTTGCTTTTTGTGGAGGTTTCCAATAGCAGAGTAGCATCCCACTCCGATAAAAACTTCTACACGTTCAGGGGCTGAATGTGAGCTGTTCATTTTCAAAGCCCTTTTCACTATATACCTCTTTTACCTGTCTTATTTTCAACCATATCAATGCACGTATTATCGTGCCACAGCTTAGTCCCCCTCTGAGCTGCCTTCTTCATTTTCTCACCTGCATTAGGGTTTGGAAAACCTCATCTTTCAGTGGTACTGGGCCACTACTAGTGTGCAGAACCTACTTGCTGAGCTGTCGAAAGAGAAGTACAGAACTTTATTCCATTTGCTCACATTGACATTCGCCTGTCTGCGATCACGGGCGCCATCCTCTCCCTCAATCAGTTCGTCAGCTTGCTTTCTGTAAAGAACTTTGAGGGAACGGGGAACACAGCTGAAAACGGTTGCTACTCTGTCAACATCATATCCCCTTGGTACAGTAGCTCCGAAATTCCAGATTTGTCGTTTATATACTCAATCGAACCTCTTGCTGTCACATTGGTTTGTTTCAGCATCTAAAAAATGTTCAAAGGAACCTGTCTTTTCGAAATCTTTCACCTTTAATCTCTGAGCTAAGCGAGCTTGCTGTTGCAAGTTTAGCTTTGGAGCTCTCACGTATCTGTCAAGCTTCTGGCGAATTGCAATTAAACGATCAACATCCAAGCCCTAAATTCACAGTTTCTTTTTGCTTCTGACAGTGACTACGATGTAATGTTACCGCTTTCACTTTAGCCAGTGTTCTTCTGAGTTTGTTCACTTTTTGCCAATTTAAGCTGGCGCTCAGGCAAGCGAGCAAAAGTAGGAGGAAGGGAGTTCTCATCCCTAAGCTAAGAGAAAGTAAAACGAGTAATGAGATCGTAAAAATTTTAAACTTTTCTGACCTGCAGGAAACTCATCACGCTTTTATAAGCACTTGACGCAGTATATTCCAATACTAAGAGTATGAACGTCAAAAGCAGCTATGGAAACATTCTGGTCATTTCGTAATCGAGCGCAACTCTCACAGTGCTACAAAAAATACATGTGGCAAAGTCTTGCGTTATTCATAAAAAGCTTGTGGCGAAACCCAATGATTGTGCAAAAATCAAAGTTCTGTTTTCAATGTATCCAGAGGTATGATATCATTGCTACATGAGATTTCCATTTCTACAGTCAAGTGTGGCAATAAAGTTTTTTCTCGAGCGTTCTATAACAGCTTTGCCTTTGCTGTTTTCAAGGAGAACTTGACAAGCAGATGCAGGGTAAAATGCAAAAGTACATATACATTCGACATTTTTTGTTACTTAAGACAATGAAGTAATTTTTGGCATAATGGCTTGAACTTGTCAGAGTTTTCAATATTCAAGAGTACAAGACATCCACTCGTAGTGGGCATACTCTATGCTTGATCTGCTTGGGTGCGTCAAGAGCTGTTCTTATTGCCAGATTTGAGTTTTAAAGTGCATTCGATGCAACTTTTCCTTCTCTTTCTTACGGTTACATTCTCGAACGCAATGCTGTATGCTTTCTTTGATAATTGCCAAAATTCTTCACCCGCCATTTTTATCTGCTTAAAGTTAGGCTATTTTTCAAAAATTTCGTTCCAAAGTTTCGGAGAGGATTGACTATGGACCAAATAGAGCAATTCCAAGACTTTGCGGAGATATTCTTTGGTTCTCCTAATCTGCTGTGTTTAGCTCAAAAAATTATTTCTTCGGAGGCCTTGATTTTCAACAAAGTCATGAAAAACGCAACTGCAGCAAAAGCAAGAAAACTTTTGAAGTTTCTGCCAATTTAAACTTGATTGTTATTAAACACTATTTATGCAACATAACCAAGTGCGATTTGCTTCAAAATCAGCTTTTTGAAATTTTCGGTACTTTTACGTGGTAAACTTATTCAAAAAGCCGCGGTTTTTACTGAATAAATAATCATAACGGACTTAATAAACGAGGCTCACGTAATCCAAAATAAGTACAATGTAGCCAAGGTTTGCTCTACATAACAGTTACCAGCGCTCCTTGAAAACATCAGTAAAAAATTTTGAAAATTCAGGAAAGATTTGGCGCTACTGCTGAGGTGCTCAAAAAGCCATGGCGATAACATCACAAAGACGGGGTAGATCAGAAAACAAATATAGCTGTAAGAAAGAGGATACAAATCTGAATAGAATGGTACCTAGGTCGTCCATGGAATGGCTTTCTGTGAGTTTGGATGAGCGATGATAAAAACCGACAAAATTTTCGGGACAACCTAATAGAACGGTTTATTTTTTAAAATATTTTCCGATCAATTGAAGAATTTATTGCGGTGCAACGGTGTGATAGAAGGCGTTGCAGATGCATTTTTACGTTCCTTCATCAGTCTGCAAGTCTTCCGATCAAAAGAGACCTTTTTTGTTGCTGGATAGGCTGGATCAGAGCTCTTCCTATGCCAGCATCGAGCTAAGGCCCATTACAAAACGTGTATGGCTGATGCCCACGCGTCCATGTCTCCTAGTAGTCGGCCTTACCCGCTGGCAATAAGAACAGCTCTTGACGCACCCAAGCAGATCAAGCATAGAGTATGCCCACTACGAGTGGATGTCTTGTACTCTTGAATATTGAAAACTCTGACAAGTTCAAGCCATTATGCCAAAAATTACTTCATTGTCTTAAGTAACAAAAAATGTCGAATGTATATGTACTTTTGCATTTTACCCTGCATCTGCTTGTCAAGTTCTCCTTGAAAACAGCAAAGGCAAAGCTGTTATAGAACGCTCGAGAAAAAACTTTATTGCCACACTTGACTGTAGAAATGGAAATCTCATGTAGCAATGATATCATACCTCTGGATACATTGAAAACAGAACTTTGATTTTTGCACAATCATTGGGTTTCGCCACAAGCTTTTTATGAATAACGCAAGACTTTGCCACATGTATTTTTTGTAGCACTGTGAGAGTTGCGCTCGATTACGAAATGACCAGAATGTTTCCATAGCTGCTTTTGACGTTCATACTCTTAGTATTG